ACCCAGTAAATCAGGAAGGGTAACCTATGCGAAGTACATAGTAGATGTGTAGTAAAGGCTAGTTGAAAAGTTGCACCCGGCAGCCTGCAAGCATACTTTGACCCAAACAGTGGTTTCTTTAATTAGTTACCAACATTTAAAGAGTTGGGAAACTTCATTTTTAAAAATTGTATTTCTAGCTTCTTGTGAAAAGGGGAAGAATGGCAATCTGGGACCCACATTCCTGCAGTAATGCAGGTGCTGAGTTCAGGTCTTCTTGAGCTGGGCAGATGCTAACCCATCCACAGCCCCCACCCAGCCTCCTGCTCCCAGATAATCAACTTTGGGATTCCTGTCATCTTATTCCTTATAACCCATCCTGTTTTCCTCATTTTGGGGAGTTTTCTCAAATCTATTTGCCCTAATAGTTCAAACAAACACTGTCAAAAACTGCATTGTTTTTCCCAAACCCATCCCTGCCCACTTAAACAAACAGCCCTGAATGAGGAGTGGTTTGCCCTATTGCACAAAACCACTCCCTTCCCCACCCAAACAGAGCTCACCTAAAGCCTGGGAAAGCACTTTTCGGCTACCCCTGGGAGGGGTTGTCATCAATAGCGCCACCTGGAAGCCGCAAACCCGGAAGCCCAGCTTCAGCCCAGGGGGTGGCCCAAACTCTCCCACGGGCTGTCTGAGAAAGCCTGCCTCTCCTTTTCCCACCTGCAGTGGCTCCTGGGGGTTCTATCAGCGGAACCCAGAACCAAGAAGACCAAGAAAATTAACTGGGAAAGAAATGAATTAACTGGGAAAGAAATGTAGAGGTCCCTTGTCATGGGGCAAAAAAAAAAAAAAAGGACTATATGTTTAAAATGACAAAACAAAACAGAACTAAACAAAGATCTTTACCCAAACGTCCATAGTGTTATCTCTCATGATAAATTATAGGTGGTTTTCGTTTTCTTCTTTTTTTGTCCACCTGCATTTTCTAAATTGTCTATAATGAATATCCATTGCTTTTGGAATAAGAAAAAGTTAACTTTTGAACAAGTGTTCAGACATATTTCAGAAAGAAACAAATCATCAGATTATGAAGTTCTGAGATGGGATAGAAACAGTGAGGATAGAAAAGAAGAGAGAGCTTCTGGAGATTTGGGGAAGGGAAAAATTCAAAGACTTGGTGACCAGAATACACAGAGGGAGTGGACCCTCCAGGTTTTCTGTCCTGGGAGTCTGGATGGATGGCAGTGCGACCAACAGAAACAGGACTGCATGGAGGAAGGGCAACCTTAGGAGAACAAGACAGAAGGTGAGGGGTACCAGGTACCAGATGAAAACTGGTTTTGTTGATTTTATTGTTGTTTTGTTGTGTTTGCTTATGCCTTGCCTTACTGGGGAAGGATTTAGAGGCAGCTTAAAAGGGACTATAGGTTATGACATAACATGAGTATAAAGTAGGAACAAGATAAAAAAAAAAAAAAGAGCAAGAAGGAACATAAAATTGGGTCAGGAACAAGGCAAAAACATGAGTCTTGTAGTCTTTGGGCCATATAGTTAGCTCTGAGTGTTATATCTGCAATGCAACCTGGTGAGGCCTGAACACTCTAGAGGTGAGGGTTCCATGGTTGGTGGAGAGAATCAAGCTCCTGGATTTGGGAGTAGCCACATAAAGATGAAATGGAGGAGTGGAGAGATTACTGTGAGAGAAGCAGAGCAGACCTAGAGAGGAGAGAGCAGAAAGTGAGGATAGAGCCTCTTCTTAGAGGAAGGGAAAGCAGAGGAGGTTTGGTCAGAGGAGTGACAGGAGACCCAAGAAGAGAGAAGTTCAAAGACTGCTAGAGTCAGGAAGGAGGGAGGTGGGGATATGGGGTTGACTGATCATCATGGATCCATTTTGCGAGGGCAGTGGTAGTGGAGGAGCCTGGTGGAAACCTATGGGGCTGGGAGGCAGTTGGGGCGGAGGCCGTAAAGGGGAAGGGAAGAAGAGCCAGCACCCTTACCACCGAGAGCTGTGGGTTTAGGGGAGGCCCGCGCTGAGTTTTACTCATAGAGAGAGAGGCTGAAGGTACAAGGGACAATCAAACACTGATGGAGTACAAGATTATATTGTCGACCCAATAACTTACTTGGGATTGTCTTTCTAGTGAATTTT